CAGAGGACCAAGATGTGGACAACTGGATTGCCGAGTATGAACTGGTGAGCGCCGTCAATAAGTGGAACGCAGCCGATAAGCTCACAAATCTGAGTTTTTACCTGACCGACGTGGCAAAACTATGGTACAGAAATCATCAAAGTGATTTCAGTACCTGGTCGGAATTGGCGAAAACCCTCGCGGAAGTCTTTGGCCGTCCTGCTGTCCGCCGCCTTCGTGCTGAACAGCGCTTGCGGGGCAGAGTACAGAGAGCAGATGAAACTTTCACGAGCTACATCGAAGATGTGCTATTTCTCTGCAAGCTCGTCGATTCAACTCTGGACGAGGCAGGCAAGATCAAGAACATCATGAAAGGAATCGACGACGGTGCATTCCAAATGCTGGCTGCGAAGAGTCCCCAGACGGTCGCCGAGGTGATTCAGCTCTGCCAAAGCTATGATGAGCTGCGTAGGCAGCGCGCTTCTACACGTTGCGCTGCTCAAGACACCGCGGACATCTCATCCCTCGACTATCGCCATGACACTGCCGACCACTCTGCGTTGATGCCAGTCATAAAGCAATTCATACGCGAGGAGGTCGCCCGGCAGCTATCTATAATCACAAGAACTACCGAGCCGATGGCACCCTTGTCGCCTTCGCTTCGCCAGGTCATTCGATCGCAAGTTGCCGAAGCATTGCCGCCAGCTCGGGCTTCCCCAACTGTTACCGCACCACTAACGTATGCAGCCGCAGTTGCTCAACCACGTGCGCCAGCGTCTCCGGCCATCTACGAAGCTACTCGCCACGTTTATTCGTCGACCCCACCTTCCCGCTCGCTGACCGTCCCGTCTCCGGCTGTATATGAAACAGGTCAGAACGTTTATATGACGCCCCCACCTGCACGACCATATACGGTACCCTATTCAGCGAACAGTGCCCCTATCGTCAGCCAATGGCGCACTCCAGATAACCGGCCGATATGTTTTTCATGTGGCATCCCAGGCCACGTAGCTCGTCACTGCCGTCGTCGCAGCTTCCCTTCTCACGACATTGCAGGGGCCTCACATTACATGCCCACTACCCTCGTTACAGTTACACTGTAATTCTTCTCCGCTTTCGTTCTTCATTTGATCGTGACCAGTCAGGCTTAAGCCGAACCTCTGCGGTCGTTCACCGTATTGACACCGGTCAACAAGCCCCGCTAAGGCAGCGTCCGTACCGTGTGTCATCTGCTGAACGCCGTGTCATCGACGAACAAGTGGACGACATGTTGAAACGTGGCATCATCGAGCCCTCCAACAGTCCCTGGGCTTCACCGGTTGTTCTCGTCAGGAAAAAAGACGGATCCATCCGGTTCTGCGTTGACTACCGCCGACTCAACAAGATAACGCGCAAAGACGTATACCCTCTGCCGCGCATCGATGATGCTTTGGACTGCCTACAAGGAGCAGAGTTCTTTTCTTCGTTAGATTTACGTACTGGCTACTGGCAGGTGCCCATGGCAGAGGGTGACCGCCCGAAGACAGCCTTTGTAACACCGGATGGACTATATGAATTCACCGTTATGCCCTTTGGCCTCTGCAATGCGCCTGCCACTTTCGAAAGGATGATGGATACCGTCTTGCGAGGTCTGAAATGGAAAACGTGCCTCTGTTATTTGGATGACATTGTGGTATTTTCAAGCGACTTTGCGACCCACCTCAGCCGCCTCGAGCAAGTTCTTACGTGCCTTTCCACGGCGAGACTTCAACTTAACTTGAAGAAATGCCACTTCGGCGCTCGCAAGCTTGTAATTCTCGGCCATGTGGTTTCTAAGGACGGCATTCTCCCGGACCCTATGAAACTTAATGCAGTCGCGGCGTTCCCAAAGCCAACCACCATCAAAGAGCTTCGAAGCTTCATCGGCCTATGTTCTTACTTCCGGCGCTACGTCCGCAATTTCGCCTCCATTATCGCCCCCTTGACCAATCTTCTTGCCAGAAGTTCTGACTTGTCAGCGTGGTCGCAGGCTTGTGATGATGCATTTCAGGAACTCCGACGGCTCCTCACCACGCCTCCCATACTCCGACATTTCGATCCGTCAGCTCCTACGGAGCTTCATACGGACGCTAGTGGTGTCGGGCTAGGAGCCATACTGGCCCAACGCAAGGAGGGCTTTAACGAGTACGTTGTTGCCTATGCCAGCCGCACCCTCAGTAAAGCCGAGAAGAATTACAGTGTAACTGAAAAGGAGTGCCTCGCCATTATTTGGGCAATCGGAAAATTTCGGCCTTATTTATATGGACGTCCGTTTGATATTGTAACAGACCACCATGCGCTTTGCTGGTTATCTTCACTAAAAGATCCTAATGGTCGGCTCGCTCGTTGGGCATTGCGGTTACAGGAGTTCGATATCCGTGTTATCTACCGTTCTGGCCGGAAGCATTCCGACGCCGATGCCCTGTCACGTTCGCCATTGGCTTCAGAGCCTGTCGGCTCGCCTATCTCCACTAGTGCTGCCTTGACCATCAACATCTCGGACATGCCTTCCGAGCAACCCAAAGATGCTTGGATTTCATCTCTTTTGGACTTTCTCTCAAACCGGACGCCCGCTCCAGTTTCCAGGATGCTTCGCCGTCAAGCAGGACACTTCGCTATTCGTGATAACCTGCTTTACCGCCGAAACTACAGCTCGATCGGCCGTAAGTGGTTGCTCGTCATCCCCCGACATCTGCGCTCTGACATCTGTGCCACGTTCCACGATGATCCGCAATGTGGCCACGCTGGTGTGTTAAAAACATACACCCGCTTGCAGCTGCGGTACTACTGGCGCGGTATGTACCGTTTCGTTCGCCGTTACGTAAGGTCTTGCCTTACGTGCCAGCGACGCAAAATGCCCACTCAACATGCCACAGGTCCCTTGCAGCCATTGCCATGTCCAGCGCGAGCTTTCGATCGTGTCGGAATTGACCTTTACGGTCCGCTTCCCTATACTTCGAGTAGCAACCGCTGGGTCATTGTGGCTATCGACCACCTAACGCGGTACGCTGAAACAGCTGCGTTACCTTCTGCTACCGCAAAAGACGTTGCGTGTTTTATACTGCAAAACCTGGTTTTAAGGCATGGAGCACCTCGGGAGTTACTAAGCGACCGTGGCCGCGTTTTTCTCTCCGATGCCATCAAAGCGTTGTTGAGCGAGTGTCGCATCACACACCGTACTACCACAGCCTATCACCCGCAAACTAATGGGATGACAGAGCGTTTTAATCGTACACTTGGGGATATGCTGGCCAAGTACGCTTCATCCGACCAGTCAAATTGGGATAGCATACTTCCTTTTGTGACATATGCTTACAACACTGCAACGCAAAGCACCACTGGATTTTCGCCTTTCTTCCTTCGTTATGGACGCGAGCCATCATCAACAATGGATACCATTCTTCCTTATCGACCGGACCCTTCAGAGATGACTACCGTTTCTCGAGCAGCAGCACACGCTGAAGAATGTCGGAAGCTTGCTCGTGCGTTCACGTCACATGACCAGACGCGCCAAAAACATCGCCACGACGCGTCAACCGCGCATATGAGCTTTGCTCCGAACTCACTGGTGTGGCTATGGATTCCTTCTACTACTCCAGGACTCTCCCACAAGCTTTCGTCCAGGTACCATGGCCCTTATCGAGTTGTGCGCCAAACATCGCCTGTCAACTACTTTTCAATTTATTTATTTCAATTTATTTATTTATTCATACTGCAATCCCTATTACAGAGATTTTAGCAGGGTGGTTACAGATATAATTTTCACAATGTTGGCACTCAAGAATGCATAAACCAAACAAACAAAAAATAGAACGGCATGATGTGAACAATCAAGTCAAATTTGCTGCAAACAACTTTAAAGACGGCTCCATCACTTGGTTATTAGTTAGTCCATTCTACTGAGTTACTGTACGAGGGAAAAAGGAATATTTGAAGCAGTTATTTCGGGACCGGAAAGGGGTTATTGTAAGTTGATGCCTTTGGCGGGTGGCGTACCCAGAAGAAAAGGAAATGATATTGGAAACATCACCCTTTAATTATTTGGTAAAGAAATTGTAGTCGTATTAAACGATTTCTTTCGGTAACTGAAGGCTCATTGGCACGATGTAGGAGTTCAGTTATAGAGGTGCGTCCAAAGCTATTAAAGATAAAGCAGACTGCCTTCTTCTGCACGTTTTCCAATTTAGTTATGTTAGCTTTAGTGAAGGGGTCCCAAACAATCACTCCATATTCTAACACTGGGCGAATAATAGTCCTGTACGCTAAAGTACGCACCGTGGAATTAGAATGTTTTAGAGCTCTTCGAAGGAAGAATAGTTTTCGGTTAGCGTTTGTAATTACGGAGTCAATATGTTTAATCCAGCTAAGGTCATTGGTAATCCAAAGGCCAAGATACTTAATGTTAGTTACCTCAGAAAGGGTGAAACTTGCGGTGGAATAATTAAATAGTAGGGTTTTTTTCTTGTGTGTTATTCACATAAATACTGTTTTATCGAAGTTAATTGACATCTCCCAGCTGCAGAAGCTGCATTTCCGATGGAGGCGGAAATGTTGTAGGCCCGTGTACTCAGATTTGGGTGCACGTTAAAGAACCCCAGGTGATCAAAATTTCCGGAGCCCTCCACTACGGCGTCTCTCATAATCATATGGTGGTTTTGGGACGTTAAACCTCACAAATCTAATCGAATTTAATTGACATCTGCCATAAATCACACCACTTCACAATGCTATAAAAGGCACTATTCAGAATGATTTGATCGGTTACATTGGATATTTCAGAATATATGACACAGTCATTTGCATACAACTTGATTTTTACAGGAATTTCATTCCAGAACAGTATGGCATAAATCATGGCATTTCTCACTTATCAGCTATTGCTCACGAGTGTGCAGCCAGCATGCGAGTGGATATTGAGGCTTCGAGACGAACTGCAGTAAATTTCTGAAACAAGGCCAAGCTTTTCAGGGGTGGTACTGAGGCATTCTGTACGGTACGTGCAGTGCTCAACGGATCCCCGGGCTTCATCAACCTCTGCGACGCACTCAACGCTTGGCAGCTGGTCAAGGAGCTCAAGGCTGCCCTGGGCATTCCAGCGGCGACCTCCTTCAAGCACGTTAGCCCCGCAGGTGGGTCCCGGTTTAGGAGTCCTCTACCTGTTGTGTGTGGGGTACATTATCCCCAAACGACAATTGTCAGCATGTGAGAGGATGTGTTGGTTGGAAGTGTACGCTGCTTTAACATGAAAAAAATAGATACATATCTTAAGCAGTTTTACAGCAATACAGCAAAATCACTGTTCTTTACGAGAAAAGTTGGATTTGGTTGTGAGAACCCTGAAAGCTCTGTCTTATGCCAGCTAAGGTTGTGCACTTACATTTTAATGATAATTTGGGTCACCGAAAAAAAAAGCAGAAAAGAAATAACGTAATTTTCAAGCCTACTACTTTTCTTGTTCTACAGTGACGTCATAAAAATGCAGCGCTCCTACTGTCACCTTTCCTGGTAGCAAAGGGGGTGCTCATGCTGAAACTGCATCCCAGATCCGTGAGCTTATCAGTGCTAATAATTGTAGTTACAACCACGTAGTGGCAGCCTGCAAATTCAGTGCTAATATCTGGTAGTAAAGGGTTTAAAATTCGTTGTTCAAGTTCGTACGCATCAAGGTATCAGAGGAGTGGAGAGCAGTTGTTTGCTTCTTTTGACGGCCTTTACTATATGCCACCATACCTTTTTCTCATTTTCCCACTCAATCCAAGCCTAGCTATGTAGCATAATGTTATTAACGGTAAGGTCAACAACAAACAGCCCATCTAGCACTTCATAATGTTATCAGGTGGGACCAGTGGCTTTGGCATTTCAATCCTTTCATCATCTACAGCTGTGGATAGACATAAAAATTCAAACTGGTTGGAGAATGATTTTTAATTTGCAAACATCCAGAAGAAATTAATGGGATCGTGCTGGTCTCTTAAGTGACAGTAGTCGTAGCTGAGGAACTTGTGAATCATTCAAGAGAAAACCAGATCAGATTGTGCTGCCTATCATACGACATTCCCTGAAACTTGCAACATAAATTCTGACCAGAGTTTTTTGTAAATCGTACCTCTCGCATGCGAGATTTGAAGCAGCACAAACTTCAAAGGTTCTTCGTCTGTGCAGGTGCTGCCGTGGGAGTGCCATTGTCACGAGATGAAGCCAAGCTTTGCATGGTGGATGACATGTTTGATGACCTGACCCCGATTGCCACTGCCTATGCCAGAGCACGAGGTGAGTACTGTGCACACCATGTCAAATTATCTTGCTATTATTATCTTGCACCAGTAATGAAGCTCCATTTATACACATCAGTTAATGATTAACAGATAAGAGGAACACATCGAGGTGAAAGTTTGTGCCATAAAGTTTAGCATCACTTATGTGTATCTGCTAAAAAATTTCCCATATGCATGAACAGCATCCTATTACTAAACAAAGTGGCCATCGAAAAGAATACTGCTTGGTTATGTTCTTTTTCTTTTCTGCTAGTAATGTTATGTGGTGTGCGGCACACCACACACTTGATCCACGGTGTACTTAGCTGTCTGCATTACAATTTCCAGGAAGTTTTACAAATGCGAAAGCCTGTAATCACAAACATTTTGAACAATTATCCGCACAACTAATCTTAATAATTAATGACCAGTTTTACAGTTACAGTGAAACCTCGTTAAACCGTACCCGCGTAAACAGTAGTTTTGTTTTAAAAGTAGTGAAGCCAAATCCTCAACTCGGTGGCCATTGAACATAATGCATTTTGTATCCGCATAAGCCGTACCAGCTTATCGCGTATGTATCGGTTAATAAGTAGTTTTTCCAATTTTCGTTGCGCACTCGTCGCGGCATGTCATCCCCCACTGGGCGTTATGGTGACCCCGCTACTAACTGCAGCCGACGATCACCGCGGGTTCACGCTTAGCGAGCCACAGGGCCGCTACTCCGTTTACTCGCGTGTAGCGCACCGCTCCGCGCGCGCTCAACAAATAAGGCGTTTAGCGCGGTGTGGCAAATAGACAGTGTTCTAATGCAAAAATACACAACACTTTATTGCCTCTGGCGGCACCCCGAACAACAGTACAACGTCCGCTCCCGGGACGCGGGTAGCAAAGGCACCCGCACGCGGACGTTCACAATAAGGGGAAAACCGCGAGCACGTCGCAGCTGGCAATGGCGAGCTTTGACACATCGGTCGAGTAAAGGTCCCTCGCGGCTATGCCGCGCACTCTCACGATGGCCAACAGGCCTGGTCGCGAGTGTTAGGGCAAACCTCGTACGCGTAGGCCTACGGCAAGTGCGGCTCGTTGTGGTACGACCACTTCAAGCACTAGGCACCGCTGTGGGCTTAACGTACGCTACCAAAGCTAGCACTCAAGTAAACACGCCTGCCGAGGTGCCCAAGGCCACCCCAGGCAGGCTACAGTTCGGCGATTCCCAAAGGGACGTGGACGAAGGAAAACACGTGCTTACCTGGCACCGACCACGGAGAAAAGAGCGCTCCCTCGGCACGCACGTACCGCGTGCCATGCCCGCACGTGGCGCCATCTATCGCCACGCGTCGTTATCAGAGCAGGAAAAGCAAAAGGTTGTGGCCGTGCGGCGGAAGGCCCGTGAAATGGTCGCAGGCGCGCCTCAGATCCCCACATCCTCCTCTCCTTAATTCACCCTATATATCGGTCTGCAAAGGCAGCCGGTCGTCGCCCATACATACAAAGGCGTCATGCAATGGGCAACAGCTAGCCTCAGCCTCGCTCTGCAACTGCTGCTAAAGGAAAAAAAAAAATAAAACACAAGAATACCCTTGAGAAATACAATGGCTCTGCAGAAGAGAGGTAACGGAAGTTCATGATGCTCACGCAAGAGCGCGTCCACGGCTCGGAGTGGCAGCGTCGCGTAATGTTTGACTTGGGTGACTGCGTGGGTGCGAGAGTGCAAGGGGAGGGTTCTGGTTGAGGCCCTCATGCGAGGAACGGGCTCACCTTCGTCTCGTCGATGTTGACGACAGCCCTGCGTGTCCCACGAACGCCGCCTCGGTGGAGGTTTGGATGGACCTCGCTGCGACAGCCGGCCCTTCTGCTGGAATAATGGTCGCCAAATCCACTGGCTGCGAGGCGTCCTGCGACAGCTGGCCTCGTGCAGGAGCCGTGATAAAAAGGCCAGCAGAGCTTATCAGCGACAGTCTGGAGCGGGGCGCAACCGGGCTGCCTAACGACAGCAGGTCTCCGAACACATCCAGAGTGCAAGGTGATGTAAGGGTCGGTGACTTCTTAAGTTGTTGCCACATGCACGCACACACACCTCCGAAGGTCGGGTCTCTCCAAACGCGCACCGCAAAGAAAGCGCAGAGTGTCCTTTGTCCCTCTCCCCACGTTAAAGCACTTATTCACAATCCCCCTCCTCCAGCGAGAAGAAAAAAAAAAGAAAACACGGAAAAAACATCAAGTAGACAACAACATTCAAATGACAATCAGCAGCAGTAACTGGGCGGAACAGACTTCTTTGCAAGCACTGGCTTTAAAGAAGTTAGCTAACTGAGACTAGACAGTAAAAATGAGGTCCTTCGGTTGCGGAAATAAGCCCGCCGTCCGGCGTGAAATCACTAAGGTGACCGCTTCCTCAGATTATACCGGTGTGTGGTCCGAATGCGGTCCGCCGCGCCGAGTGTGCGCCGTTGCTTGCGCGAAGAGCCACTGGGCACTGGCGCAGGCTCGTCAGACCTCGACGCAAAGGCTTTCAGGTCTGCGATGTGGGTACGGCTGAGTTTTCCCGAAAGCGGGTCTTTCAGCTAGTACGCGAGTGGAGTCCAAGCTTTCTCCACTCAGTACGGACCAAGCCACTTTTGAGCGAGCGAAGTTGAAAAACCCTTGCTCGCGTCGCTGAGAGCGTGGTTGCGCTTCAGGACGAGGTCACCTACCTTAAATGAAAGGTGGCGACGTTTTCGGTCGTACTGGGCCTTTTGCTCGGCCCTGGCCGATGCCAAACTCTGCCTCCCTCTACTGAGAGCTCGACAAAGCCTGTCCCGAAGTGTGGAAGCGTAAGCAGAACAGTCTGCCGGTTCTTCCTCGTCTCCGAGCTGGCATTGCATGACACTGGTGACCGGATTTGCCAACTCCCTTCCGAAATTAAGGAAGGCGGGAGAGAAACCAGTAGAGCGACTCTCGGAGGTTCGGATTGCAAATGCGAGTTCACTCAAATGGTCGGCCCAGTCCCTTTGACTTTCGGCAAAGGCCGCCAACATCGGTTTGAGCGTGCGATTGGTTCACTCTGTCAAATTGGACTGAGGATGGTAGGGCGAAGTGTTGCAGTGATCTATTCCTAGGGAACGGCACGTATCACCAAACACCCGAGCGGTGAAATACGACACATTGTCCGTGATCAATCTTTTCGGAAAGCCGAACCGACAAAACACTTCCTGTAGCCTCTCTAGCACCGCTTGGGCCGTCACTTTCCGCAGCGGAAACAGCTCCACCCATTTGGGAAAATGATCAACAACTACCATCAGATGTATGAACCCCTGCTTACTCCTGGGGAACGGCCCTATTAGATCGCAGGTGGCTACTTGCCACGGACGCTCACTGACAATTGGTTTCATCAAGCCGGGCGGCTTGCCACCCCTTGATTTCACCGCTTGACAGACGTGGCAGGAACGGCAATAGCGAAAAATGTCGCGCTTCATGCCAAGCCAAGTCACAACCTTTCTCAGTTTCGCAAAAACTTTAGTGCCACTCAGGTGACCGGCCATGGGCTCGTCGTGAGAGGCTCGCAACAGTGCGCCTCTCAGACTTTTGGGCACAACCACCTTAAATGGGTCCACTGACTCCTCATCGGTGGCTATGTATTTCAGTCCATCATGGTCCAGCAAGTATGTATCCGCGGGGGACCCAGCGAGACACGCCGGTTCCCGTCCCCCTGCGCCCGCCGCATTACCAGTCCAGCAAGTATGTATCCGGGGGGGACCCAGCGACATACGCCGGTTCCCGTCCCCCTGCGCCCGCCGCACTACCAGCAGCGTCTCGGCGCTCCGCCTCCCTGAGACCGTCGCTCAACTCGCGACAAAACGGATCATCTTGCTGGGCCTTCAGTAACTCTTGTCTGCTGAAAGCGATTCCCATTCTCCCAAAGGGGAGCTTGGTATCGTTCCCACTCAGGACTGCAGCCATCGCCTCCGCTCGCATTGGCATCACGGGTTCGCTTCCCTTTTGCTCCTCCTCTCGCCCACTTCGCGGCGTGCTGCTTGCCTGGCCCGTGGAAAGGGTTTGCTCGTCGGCGCACTCACCATTTTCTCCACTCGGCGGCTCCGCCGCCGTTTCGCTCGCGCCGCTCGCTTGCGCAAAGGCATCGCTCGCGGTTGTCGGACCGGGATCCAGGCTCCTGGTAGACACTGGGGCACGAGATAGCACGTCAGCTACCACGTTAGTGCTCCCCTTCCGATACTGCACTGAAAAGTCATGATGCTGTATTAGGAGAGCCCAGCGCGCTAGCCTGCTTGCAGGCTCACGGAGCCGCATCAGCCAGCTAAGCGCGCTGTGATCTGTTTGCACCACAAATTTTGTCCCATCAAGGTAGACATCAAACTTCCGCAGTGCAAACACGATGGCGGGACACTCCCTATCGGTCACGGAATAATTCTTTTCCGGGGGTATCAACGAACGGCTGGCAAAGGCCAGCGGCTGCAACACACCATCGTATTCCTGTAGGAGAACTGCTCCTAATCCCAGATTGCTTGCGTCAGTCTGGACAACAAACGGTCTGGTCAGGTCGGGGAGCTTGAGCTGCGCCGTCTCCGCAATGGCGCTTGACAGACGGCGAAACGCCTCTTGCTGCTCAGGTCCGCATTGCTACTCAGCTGACTTACCCAAGAGCTTGGTCAAGGGCGCCTGCACTCGGGCACAGGGCGGAATGAAAGACCGGTAAAAATTGGCAATTCCGAGAAAGTGGCGCAGGCCGCGTACGTCCTTGGGCGCGAGGAAATCGAGAATTGCTTGAAGTTTCTCCCGATCTGGCTCAATGGAGCCTTCGCCCAGCGTGAAGCCAAGTAACTGAACTCGGGTTTGCGCTAGTTGGGCCTTTGCGTGATTTAACGTCATCCCGGCGGCTCTCATCCTCTCGAGCACATCGGCAATGTGGGCCAAATGCTCTTTGAAGGTTCGTGAATAAGTCACGATGTCGTCGAGGTAGCACATGCAGTAAGACCACTTTGCTTCCCCGAGGACGCGGTCCATGAGTTTCTGAAA